CACACACACACACACACACACATAGGTTGTATCATGGTACCACTCTGCAATTTATACCTGCACTGACTGGGCCTGTACACCACAGATCACATCACAGTCACAGTGATGTTGTGACTGGTGTGGAGCTGAGTGGGTAAAACATGGCACCAACAACGTCAGGGATTCGATTCATTTCTGGGACTTAACGTGATAGAAATCGCTGCAGGGGTGGCATCATAAGAGGATTTCCCTTAGTTGTGGTCACCAAATGTTGCAGACTGGGGTAAATTTTAGAAAACACAACCGATGGAAAGTAAGAGGAAGCTCCTGCCACCCTGATAGCTGAAGCAAATCATCGCTCATCTCCGAGTGCCTAACCACCCAGCTCAGCAGAGACCTCCTCACCCTCAGCTCAGCTGGGGCAGAAGCAATCATTTGGCTGAGAGACTTTGAATCTGCTAAATAAAAGTCATCCATCATGCTCTCAGTATATACAGTGCAGTTTACACAATGTCTGCATCCGTGTGCACTCAGGAGTCTCTTTACCTGGACATGTGTCAAACAGCAGCCTCCATAGACGCACATTCAGTTGTATATTTTGTGTAAACTCACATCAGCTGTGATCTCTAATCTGTCACGTAAAGATCCAAATGTACAAAATCACTTATACATGCAGGCACACATACTTTATATATCCTCACATATATCGTGTATGAATATATTTGTATGCACAGAGAACCATAACATAACATATAAATTAACAGATTAGATGTTTACTGGTCTAATCCCCAAAACCAGATTATGGTATTAACCCTTTGGAGGTCAGACGGGACAACAGATTGCACTCTCCACAACCCCACCCCTTCCAACACACACACACACACACACACACACACACACACACACACACACCCACTTACCATGTTTTCTACTTCCCTTCAATCCAGAAGGCAGAACCTCGTGATAAATGGATTAATACTGGTGATTGTGACACGACAGCAGACTGACAACTCAAGTTTTGCACTATATGTCACAAACTTGTGGGATTTAATACATATTAATCATATATATTGGTCAGGAGTGTCTCAAAGGACCATTGGGGCCTCGGGCAAAAGGGCCCCTCATGTAAACCACCCCACACAAGAAACACCTGATACATGATAGTCTTCAACCAAACCTCTAAAATCACAAAGCTTTTGGCAAAAAGATAATTGCACAAGTTCTGGAAAGGGAGCTTCTGACCATGGTGTGTTGTCACAAGTAGCCAATCAAAGAATTTAAAGGGGTTCTCACAAAACAGTTTTGCTGCTTTGGATCAGTTGGGATTTTCTTGCTTTCTTGTCCACCTCTTTGTCACAGACTAAGATTATGTGCTTATCATATGTCTCTATTTTGTGCTTGCCACACGTTGACTATATACTTTTAACTCTCATCATTTAATCTTCCTAGTGCTAAACAATGACATGAACCAATTCGTGTGTTTTTCTCTCCCTCCCTTTAGTGTGTGGCTGTGACTTGGTGCACTCAGGTTTCTTCCACCACTCTGGAGAGTACATCTGCACAGAGGACTACCAGCGGCTCTACGGGACCCAGTGTGACAGCTGTGACCAGTACATCACCGGAGAGGTGGTGTCTGCTCTGGGGAGGACGTACCACCCACACTGCTTCGTCTGCAGCATCTGCAGGTGAGGGAAAAGTGTCCGAGTGTGTAGCTGCAACAATGTCAGACTTCACCTATAATTTCATCTTGTAAATTTAAATTTTATAGATACAATGGTAAGGGCAATTCAGATATTTCTTTCACCATACAGATGACATTTTACCACCATTTAGGTCAATGTAATGTCCTCAGGGATCCACACAGTGTTTCATCTCCAACGTGTGACCTTAAAAACATTTGAGATTCTCTCAGAACAACAGATATTTTGGATTTCATGACTTTGCAAGTCTGTTCACACAAACCACAGGTGCCCCTTTACAACTGAAATGAAATGATGCTGTCGGCCATAAAATCCCTCTGTCAGTCAATGTAGGTTTATTGAATCTGTGCTTTTAGGGGGTTTATCATAGCGTTTTACTGAAAATAAAAACTGAAGGATGGGAGAAACAGGCAGCAAATCAAATCAGTGTCACATACTGTGATTACACAGGAAAATACAGTGCTTTATGTTGGAAACTTAATTTAGTTTTGACTTAATCAATATACCACTTAAACATTAAGAAAAGAGGAGTAATCAAAAATGAAGCAGCGTTACTGAGTCTTGTTGCCCTGGTTTCTACCCATAATGCAACTTACATCTTTTAAACTCCACATCCTCAGACCACCAGTGTTACTTAGTAGTTATATAACTGAACAATGCCTTTCCTGCTGAATAGGCAGTTTTGTTGAGTTGCTGAGATGCTTTCCTGAATCGAGCTCAAATACATGTGATGATGTCACCAGGTCCTTGCATGACATCACCACTCTAGAAGCACCCGTTATAAAATCCAAATATTTCAGGAAAAGCTGAATATTTATAGTTGGAAAATGTTAATGATTGCAGACTGAAAAATATACGGAAGAAAGATAATAAAGAAACAGGACAAGTTTATTCACTGTAAACTGTATTCACACAAATAAAATAAAATAGATGTTTCCCATTTGGTTACTCATACCGGTTATTTTCTCTGGACCAGGAAGAAGAGATTTTAAAATATTTTTAATGACACACTTAATATGGCAGATATACGTCTCTTCTGTTGGCAGCTCCCTCTTTAATCATCATGCATCACATAAATCTATATTGGCTTCAGTTCAGTTGCAGCTGACTTGATAAAAGTGACTGGTGTATGTCTGTGCAGTTGTAAAAGCTAACGATCGCTCAGTGTTTAAGATGTAAAGATCATTAGGTTTTCGTTTTTTGGGCGGAGATCCCCTGTGTATGTGTACCCTCTCCTCTAATAACAACACACTCCACTGAGATTGCAAATTAGACTCATGCGTCTCGAAAATGGCTGAGTCAGCGCAATAATAATGTGTCTCACAAATGACTTTTTGGCTGCACCGCAACATGATAGAGATTTTGGTGAAATGACCCTTTAACTTGAATTCCTGCTCTGCCGTATCTGCATGACTTTACTTAAATGTGCTCTTTGTTCTCAGGAGTCCGTTCCCAATTGGCGACAGGGTGACCTTCTGCGGAAAGAAGTGTGTGTGTCAGCAGTGCTCGCACTCTCTGAGCAGCGACAAGCCCGTCAAGGTCCACGGGCCCAGCTGTAAGAACACCGCTCACTGTATGCCACATAAACATACGCAAAAATGCAAACCGCATTATACTAAAAGGGATAGTTCGCCAAAAAATGTGGGTGAACTATCCCTTTAAACTGCACTTTTTGAAACCAATGTACAGACAAATTAGAGATATACGGCTACAGCTACAAAAATAAAACAAAAAAATAATTTCTTGATTCTTCTTCATCGGAGTTAACCAATAATTGATAATCTGGCCAGTTGGTTTAGATGCAGATATTGAAATGACTCACTTCTTTGTGATTCATCTGGCACATATTGATCTGAGCTGTTGCCCTACGGGCGAAACACAACAAAAGACTTGTACCATCCACCTGCTGAACACACCCACACAAACACACACATATACACACACACCCAGGAGGTGGCCTGCTGCTCCAGGTATTTGTGTGGCCTGGTTTTGTTAGCTCCATCTGGTGAAGACAATGTGACCATAATGTCAGGAGAGAGGAAAAAGAGAATTGATGAGAGGAAAACGCAGAGGAAGGACGATGAATGAACATTTGTGGAAGCTGCTCTTCTCTCTCCTCTGTGTTTTCTCATTACTGCATTTCTGTTTCTCCTCTCCTCTCCTCTCCTCTCCTCTCCTCTCCTCTCCTCTCCTCTCCTCTCCTCTCCTCTCCTCTCCTCCCCATCTCTCGTTCAGACTGTGCCGGCTGCGGCGAGGAGATCAGACAGGGTCAGTCTCTGCTGGCTCTGGAGAGACAGTGGCACGTCAGTTGTTTTAAATGCCGGACATGTGGCTGTGCGCTCACTGGAGAGTACATCAGCAAGTAGGTGGCTTGATCCCCCATCTTTACAGTCTCGGTACAAGTATTTACTCTATCAACGTCAAAAAACAACAACAGGGATCATTTAACCTGAGAACTGTTGTCTGTCTGTAGGGATGGGATTCCTTACTGTGAGGCTGATTACCACACACAGTTTGGGATCAGGTGCGAGAGCTGTAACAGGTACATCAGCGGAAGAGTGCTGGAGGTGAGTGTGTTCGTGCATATACTTTACGTACAAATGTGTATGTGACAGATGGGAGCATGAGGAAGAACGACGTTGTACAATCTTTCACACAAATTTAAAAAATATAATTTTTTTAATTTGTGTGATAGATTGTGTGTCTGTGTGTGTGTGTGTGTGTGTGTGTGTGTGTGTGTGTGTGTGTGTGTGTNGTGTGTGTGTGTGTGTGTGTGTGTCCATAGAAAGCTACAGAAAACACAGCTGCCCCTCTTCACATGACTCAAGTGTTTGACTGGTGACGAGGCAGCTTTGGAAAACCAGCAAGGCAACACTTCCATCTCCCCTCGTCTATTCATTCCTTTATTTTCCATTTCTTATCGCCCCTCCACAGTCTTCACTCCTCATTGTTTTCCTCCATTTCTTATCACCACTCTGTTCTCACTCCCTCATTTGTGTCACCTGCTTTTGCTTCCCTCTGGCTTATTTATTTCTTCTTTCCTCCCGTCCCCTATCTCTCCTCCAGGCTGGAGGGAAGCACTACCACCCTAGCTGTGCCAGGTGTGCGCGCTGTCACATGATGTTCTTGGAAGGAGAGGAAATGTACCTCACAGGTGAAATGAAACATTATGTATAAAAGTGATAGAATGTGTTTTTAGTTTTATGAATAAATATCTGTGACCATACAAAAGTGCTTCTGCATCTCTACAGCCAGCGGGCATAAAAATAGAATTGTAGCATCTATTGAATTAGCTGTTCCCTGCAAGTATCCAGATGGCCTAAGTGTTTATTCTGCATCCGTGTGTGTGTGTGTGCGTGTGTGTTTGTGTGTGTCGGAAAGGCGAGTCGGACAGAAGTAGGATACAGCCACCTGATAAATGGTTGCTTTTAACAAAGTACCATTATGTAGGTTATTGATCGCACATATAACACTCGTTACTACATTCACTGACAAAGACACACGTAACACACAACAGACACACACACACACCTTACCCCAGCCGATGTTTTCTTGAGACACACAAAGGTTGAAGTCAATTACCTCTCCAGCTTGGCCTCGGCTGCTGTGTCCATTATTCTGCGCCGCCACTGACAGAATTAATCTGAATGAATGGCCGACTGCCAGAGGTTTAAATTGTTTTCTCTTTTACAAATTAGATTCAAGTAATTAAAGTTAATAAGCTCACTCATGGATTCAAATGCAGGCTGATGTGAGGACACTGCTAAAGCTGCCTGACAAACTAGCATTCTTATACATTCATGTTCATCGTTATCCACTTTGTACGGCGGCCCTGAAGTGCAAAACACGACAAATCACAGAACACAGCAGCAAATCCAGAAACACATTTTTACTACGTTTTCCTTCTGTTCTGAAGACGGACCACGCCTCTGTCCAATCAGCGACGAGCTTCATCACCCTTCTTCCCTGTTACTAGCTGATGTCCTCCATGTTAGCAGATGGGACATGGACCAAACTAAAAAGACAAAATTCTCTCAAAGTTTGGTTTAAAGTGGTTATTTAATGATTCCAAAACAGCATGTAACACCATGATTGGTTGTTTCGGCAGGACCTCGCTACCGTTGCTTCATCCTGCTGATTGCTACTCTGCAGACTCTGGATGACCCTGTTCCTATCCAGCATGTTTTCGCTTCATGTCTGTATATTGTATATACAATCTTTGTTATAATCAGTTCAAACTTTAAGCTGGAAATCATTTTCAACTTAATACAATATTTCTTAAGTGGAGACTAAATATGAGCAATACTTTCTCAACAATCCACCGTTGCAAATGCAAATTAGAACAACACAAGATCATACTCTAGGAGATATGGTAGTGTAGATAGAATACAACTGAAAGTACCTTTAAGCTGTATATTCCTTTAAAACAAATACAATTGACGAAGAAATCCACAAACTACCAATAAAGAATTTACCGTACCAGGAACTTTAGGTGTAAAAATACATTTTGATTAGCACAGATTACTTGAATGCAAGTTAAATGTGGAGCTACTGTACCTTCATGTGTAACTGACACACACAGCCTCCCACAGTCGCCACACAGGTTGACGCCTCCTGATTCACTTCACTGACATTCTGCTGCTGCACTCACGGCCACCAGTAAACCGATCCATTTGCATATTGTACTTAAAGTCTTCATGTGTGTGCGCTTGTTTGTGTGTTTTAATCTACGCCTGTAAATATGTGCAAGCATCATTCTCTGTGTATTTGCTTGGACGCACGATAGTGTGTCTGCATATGAATGCAGGTGTGTGTGTGTGTGCTGAGCTCCACTGAGTTGCCCCAAGGTTACATTCCCTCCTTTTGATGACTTCAGACATGTAGGAGGGCTAAGCAATCACCCTCGTGAGACACACTCAATTACGGCTCACGTGCACACGCTCTCACACACACACGTACACAAACGGCACACGCACACACACTCTTGCAATCAATCTCATGATACATGTCTCGAATAAGAAGTGGTGTGCATGTGTGTGCATGTGTTGGTGATGTGAGCGGAAAACTGATTCTTAAAATGAGCAAATCAATGAAAATATATGTCTATAAGTCTGAAAACTTCAGTGGAGGTAGTTCATCTGCAGTTCACTCATTTCGAATCTGTCAGTTCTGTTGGCTAGTGTAATCAGCTGCACTCGGGGGGGGGGGGGCTGCCATGCTAGATATCAATACAAGGCTAAAGAGAAGTAGACGGGAAATAAAATCCACAACCAGATGAACACACAACCAGGTTCACCACTGCCTTCTCCTTTGCACTAATGTAATTTGATTGGCTAGCCCCTGAGCTTTTTGGTTGAAGCTTTCAATACATACATGAGTTCTGTGTCAGGAAGTTAAATTTAATGCGATTTTTTCCTGTTGCTCTTTTTGTGCAGTACAAGTTACCAGAGCCCAAACTGATCTCTTACAAAAAAACATTGAAAGAAATTATATCTTCTGCAGCAGCAAATAGCAAATAAGTAAATATGTATTTTTCTTAAGCCATAATTCAGGGGACTAGTTCATTCTATTCACTCTTGTGTTGATGTAATGTTTTTTTATATTGACCAACAGTTTAATTAACTACTGATTTCAGGCATTTACAGATTTACAAAATGTCTGTATTTGGTTTCAGAAGAGCTTTTATTTGGTGCTTAATTTGAATTTGTGTTTAATTTACTGGACTGAAATCCTCTCTGTCATGTTGCATTTCTGTCTAATCGCCAAAGAGTTTTTTTTACTTTGGTCTGAATCAAATTACCAAGTAGAAACAGCATTGAACTGCATTCATACACTCTTCAATGACTCACTCAACTTGACCTCAGCTCTTACACCCAATACTCATAAAAGAGCAACAGACTCACTGCACATATCTGAACTGTAAGAATTGAATTGACATTTCTTGTGTTTCACTTGGCAGCATGATTCAGCAAAGACGCCTGAGTCCATTTAAATATCTGCCTCTTTATAAAATTAGAATTTCAGATAGCATGAGCACTAATGTAAAAATAGCTTCCTGTAGATTTACACTGGCGGCTTTCATCCCCTCTTTTGAATATTACTGGTTAAGATAAGACGTCTTGTTTGGGCAATCGATTAACCCCATTTTGCATAAAGTGAAGACAAGGTGAAAAAAAAGTGTTTGCTCAGGCTTCGCTCCAGAACAAAACAGTTTTTCCTGTGCATGTGCGACTGAGGAGGTTTTATCTGATTACATTTTTATCACAACTAATCGCAGCTCTTTGTTTTCCCCTGAATCCTTGGTTGCTGCACAATTTACATTCTCCTCAGCCAGGAGATACAGGATCCCAAGTCCAAGGCCATACATCTGTTCAGCAGCGGAGTGGAGGAGCGTGGGTGGGACGGGGGGGCACTGAATCACCACGCATGGTTTCTGTCCACAGTATTGATCTTGTGTGTGGGAGTGTGTGAGAGTGAGCGTGTGGTTGTTGGATGTGTGTGTCCTACTTCCTTTTGCCTCTGTGCTCGTTTGCTTATGCGGTTATGTATTTTGTGTGTGTGTGTGTGTGTGTGTGTGTGTGTGTGTGTGTGTGTGTGTGTTTGTTTGTGTGCAGGTCAGATATATGGTGTTGATAGTGGTTGTATATTAGAGTCATGATCAGCTAACTGATTCCAGCATACCCTGGGGCCGGAGAAAATGATACAGAGTCAATGCACGTGTGTGTGTGTGTGTGTGTGTGTGTGTGTGTGTGTGTGTGTGTGTGTGTGTGTGCGTGTGCGTGTGTGTTTGTGTTGGCGTCATCCACAACAAACATCCTGACATTAGTGGTTTATTGTCATGAATATGATCTACTGTAATAACCGTCATTCATTCCCTGTCCTCTTCTGCTTTATCGAGCACTTAGCTCCTTCCATCCTTCTTTCACTACCTTTGCTTTCTTCTTTTGCTCTGTTCCTTATTTTTCTTTCTCTCCTCTCAGGACGACATCTCCTTCATCTATCTTTTGGTCTCTTGTTCATGTTCATTTCACTTTAAGTCAGTGAAATTCAGAAATCCTTTTCTGCCATCACTGTTAAAGTGCATTGTTGCTAAAGCAGTGGTTCAGTTTGTCACATGTTTGTGCACAGACTTTGGTAAAGATGTGCACAATAGATTTATATTTACATCTGTAATATTGTACTTTAGAGCTGGATATCAATATGGATCATTAATTTTATTTTAAAAAACAAGAATACAATACAATGTGATAAATATAAATGTACATATTTTCTGCATTGTTTATTCTGGACATTGAAACCCCCTTAAAAGTCAATACTGATAAGATTGTTTTTCTGGCTCCATTGCAATTTTACGCATGCTCTACTTTTTTGTCCTTCCTGTCTCTTTGTCTCTCTCTTTCACGATGACCCATGATCTGGGGCAGATTTTTCATGTGAGTCATTATACGTCATTTGGCATAAAGAGAAGAAGCTCTCATTAGTTCTCTTGGCACTGGATGAAAAGTTTGGGGATCATAAAAGTCAGTAGGAATTATTCTTCAGTGACCGTGAATGTCTGAACAAAATGTCATGGCAATTTATCCAATAGTTATTGGAGATATGTCAGCGTCGAGTGCTGGACTAACTCATATTAATGTAAGCGGAGCCGCGGCTAATAATTCCTCCTCTGTATTTATATGTTTGTGGAGACCAGGAGATTTTGATCCTCTGTCCTCAGACCGGACAAACCTCCTCCACAGAGCTTCAGCTGTGTGTGTGTGTGTGTGTGTGTTGTTGATTGATGATGATGCACTGGAGAAAGGCTGTTTTCCTTTCATAGGATCACATGAAACTGTATGGCTGCTGCCCACGTACACGAAAACAAATTTAACTGAACTAAACTTGTGTATTTCTGTGTGTGTGTGTGTGTGTGTGTGTGTGTGTGTGTGTGTGTGTGTGTGTGTGTGTGTGTGTGTGTGTGTGNTGTGTGTGTGTGTGTGTGTGTGTGTGTGTGCAGGTTCAGAGGTCTGGCACCCCATGTGTAAAGAAGCAGCTCGGCTGGAGAGAAAACTGAGGGTGAGCGATGCTCTAAATACCTGCAGCCTCCTGCTCCCTCTCTCTGCTCCCTCTCTCTGTGTGATTCTCCTCTTCTCTCTCTGTGCCTCATATTTATCACCCCCGTTTTACAAACTACACCACATTGTTCTTTTCATTATAAGAAACTAACTCCAGATAAATGTAGTGATGCTTTTAAAAATGTGTCTTTCTATGAAGAACTTTTGAGACCTCTTTATTATATACATGCCACATCACATGCAGGAGGTTGGCAGAGCCTTAATAAAACTCTCTGTTCCTACTTTCCTTTGATTTCTATCTCATTCATTTTAATCAACATTAAAATGCAAATAATCCAATGTGGGTTACATTATCAAATGTGTTTAAATCAACTAATGAAAACCTCATCTGAAGCCAGCCTGAGTTTTCAAAATACCTGGAGAAGCATGTGGAAGATTAAAGTAAAGCCAGTTGTGTTTTTTCAAATGAATGTTAAGTAAATTGGTATTTTGAATTAATACAGTGTCACATTGTTGATAATGTTATTATTACCATTATCATTTCTGTACCTTTTAATTACTGTTGTGTCTAATCTAACTTTACTATAACCTCAGACTCGTTTGACTCTTGTTTTTGCTCTGATAGCTGAGACGTACGTCTGAGACAGCCTCCATTTCTCCCACGGCCTCCTCCCCTCTCCTCGGCTCTCCTCACCGCCTTATCTGCGTAAGTAACTGTCGCTGTGGTGATGATAAAAATAAATCAAACTTTATTTATATGGCATTTTTTAAGAACAATTGATGCCTTCCGCTGTCACTGTCACAGCCGTCAGTCACATATAATTGACAGAGACAGACACTCCGAGTCCCTGGAAGTTCAGTCTGTCTGCACTCTGAATAGACTTTCTAGATTGTTTGTCTGTACACGACTTAAAGGACACTGATCTTGAACTGTATTTTCTAATTCTATATTTCTTTATGCCGGTCTCTGTGTGATTTTTCATTCTTTTATTGTTCTTTCTGAATTGCTAATAATGTCCACTTCTCTATTTATGATTCAGTTTCCATTTACTGCCTCGCTCTGTCTCTTTTTCTCACACATACACACACACACACACACACACAAACACACACACACACACACACACACACAGTCTAAGGCTGACAGTGATGCTCTGGACTATAAGCAGCTGACAGCTCTACCCAGGGTCAAAGCCATATATGACATTCAGCGGCCTGACATCATCCCTTATCAGTCCAACCACACACACCTCTCTGACGACACTCTGGAGCGATATAGCTGTGGACAGGTACACACACACACACACACACACACACACACACACACACACACACACACACACACACACACACAAGACCTCACAATCAATACTATAGTTGACCATAACTCACCAACAATAATCAATGACAATTATTTTTTATTCTCCCTCCGATCCAGTCATTGGGTTCCTTGTCACCATACTCTCATGTAAGTATTCCTCCCAGTAGTTTTACTGCTTTCACTAATGACTCAGGTATATTTCACTTTAATTAGAGCAGAAAGTTAATGTAGCTGTATGTTACACAAAGTGCAAGGACTTCCACATCAGTAATGTCACAGGATATTCTACAGTAAATTGATCAATCAATTGTATGATTGATTTTACATTCCTCTACATTTACAAATGGTGAAATCTATATAACCAAATGTATAGAACTTGAGAAAATAAGATGAATATTTCCGTGAAATATGTCTGAAAAACTCATGTCGGCCTATAAATTTATGTTTTACGTTTTATAACTTATAACTATATAACTATAGTCTCTGTCCAATACTGCATGTTGAGGTGACCTGAAGCGTTTAGTGACACCTGTGCGTTTTCGTTATCAAAATTAATACTCCATAATACTGCTCTCAGAGTGATTACAGTTGTGTTTTTTAAGTGGAGCTTTGTGTAGTTTAATTAACTGAGATGGCGTCGCTCTCTCCCTCTCCCTCCAGGATGTTTTGGACAGTGTGGAGTTGAGAACGAGGCGCTCCTCCAGCTCTGCCTTCACTGACTCTCCTGCACACAGTCGCCACGGAGGGTCCCCTCTGCATTATTATCTCCCTGGTAATGCGCCCACTCAACCGAAGATGCACACTCACACGTACATGAATAGAAAATATGAGGTCTGGCAAGAAGCACTCGCTCTACAAGGCGCAGCAGGGAGTTGTGTCTTAGAGCCCCAGAACACTCCAACATACATGCCTACGTACAGTATATGTACATAATCCATAAGCTTACGAGTCGGTCTGCTATCATTTCTGTTTGGGGACGTGGGCCTTTCTGTGCCTCATGCTTTGGTTTCTCTCACTGTGATTGGCTGCGATGACGGCAGGCAGTGAGAGTGGCAGGAGTTCACCATATTACTCTCAGCCAGAGCCCAGGTGTGCCACACCCACCACCACCACCACCCTCCAAGCCCCCAAGCATTTCCATGTGCCAGGTAGGCCGTCATCCGTTACGCTGGTACTAACCTGAGTTGCCCTATTTAACAGCGAAACAAACGCACCCTCCAAATATTTAGCCACATCCTGATCCCAGATTCACACTTGCTCCTCAGACCAAAGAACCACAGTGAACTTGACCTGTGTGTTATTAATTGCAAGAAAAATAAATGATTTTAATAATAGAGTCATAGTAATTTTTCAGATTTCAAATTTTTTTGTTGGTCCCAGGTTATTAAAAGTTTTTCTGCTTCTCATATTATATCACTAAAAGTTTTGTATATTTTCCTTTTTAAGCTGAATACATAACACATATGAACCTGATTGTGATAGATTTGAGGTTTTTTAATGAGGTCTGAACATCCATAAAACACAGCAGTTATCCACTCTTCCTGCGGTGAGTCTCTGTGGAGCCTTTCTAACATATGAGTTTTAATCTAACATCTAATTATGTTTTGTGTTAACATCCCAACAACCTTCCACTTCATCAGGTCGACGCTCCTCCGCTCCCTGAATGTTTCGCTCTGTCTCTGTTGCCTTCGATTTACGTTTCACTGCAAACCGTGCGTTTGCTTTCCCTCCCATCATTCCTGCCCTCAGTCCATTTCTCACTGCATGTTCCCTTCTTCCTCCTGACTTTTTTTTTTTTCGAGGCTGTTAATCCTTGCCAGCCCTGCGACAGCACTCCCCTCACGTTTTTTCAACATGGAACAGAACGTATTTGGTGGAGGCTTTTATCCAGAGTGCCTCACGGTATCATGAGTGTGTTCAAATTTAGCGTGGTCGGCCCGCTGGGAGTCGAACCGCCAACGCTGGGAGGATTGGTGGCCTGCTCTGCTGTGTTTGGAAGTATTTTAATGTTTTTTGCTTCATGTTGTTGCTGTTTTATTACAAGTTGTTTTATTACGTAATGTGGTGTTCTGACACCCAAAGCTGAATGATTATGTAGAATATTCTTCCAAACGAGAGCTGCAAGGCGCCACGTGCTCCTGTCGTTTCTATTTTTTTTCTTTCCCATCCCTTTATCTTTTCCTCTGCCTCTCCATCCAGTTCTCAACCCTTCAACTCCTCTCCTTCCTCTGCTTTATTCCTGAGCCATCTGCTGCTCCTTCCCGCAATAAGCCAGTGAATGAGTATTAATCATCCGCTCTGCACGTCGGTCAGGTTGTCTGGATGCACGGCACCGCCTCTGCTACAACAGTTTATTACCTGTGCTGTCAGCTTTATGGTCAAGAAGACTATAAATGAATGCAACTAATTTGTTGGGATGGGATGAATAAGGAAATCCAGATTACCTCTACTCTCCACTCCTCCACTCCTCCTCTTCCCTATTTCTTTTATGTCAATGCTTTTTTGTTTCTGTTTTCAGCTTCTGAAGAAACCAACATCTACAGGAAACCCCCCAACTATAAGAGACAAGGTTAGTCCAGCTGTTGATGGGCTGTGTAAACCGTCCAATGCATCATTAGTATGAAACATCTCCTGCTTGTTTGACTGAACCAATCCGTTACAGAAAGATCTGAGTTGAAGCTGAATAAATTCTGTCTGTCCAACATCTGGTGCTTCTGACGATATTCATTCCTCTCCACCCTCTAAGCAGTCCGAGAATCAGAAGCCATTTTTCTCTATAAACCTGCAGAGGTTTGATTACAGGTTCTGTTGCAGAGTTAAGAAGCTTCACTGGTATTTTGAATCACTATCAAATACTCTCTGTTAACCAAACAGTGCCAATGTAGTGGGAACTGTACCAGGGCTGAACGTTGAAGTTTTTGTTGCTGCTAAGTAACTTTTATCTCTAAACTCTTTACACAATCGACTTCTCCCTTAAAAACTATTATATCTAATGGATGGGATATTCCGGATCATCCCTGTCCTTAATTAATGTATCAGGTATCGGCCATAACCTGATTAATCCACATTATGCAGTTTCTTTGTCAGTTTCATATTAAAATTTAGTGTTTGTGCTCCTGAATCAGTTCTGTTCAACACTGTTCATTCAGTCACAGTGGGCCACCTACTCCCTTTTCCACACAGAGATATTTTAAATTAGGTTAAACAAGTCATTGAATCACATAGGGAGGAAAAAGTAGACCCTGGAGTCCCTAATTGTGATATTCACCACGCACCACATTCCTCATGATCTGTTGGGTTTCAAACATGTGACTAATCAAGTTACTGTCAGCTGACTTGCCTGAAACTAAACTACAGAGGTACGAATGAGCCGCTTAATAGTTACAGCCACATCAGAGGTGAGATTACAGACAGTTGGTGATTCAAGAAGTGAAGTAAAACTGAGAGCAGCGGTGCCAAATACTCACTGAATGTGTAGGCAATTCATCGGCGCTCAGACGGCAGGTCCGACAGAGTTACAGTTCCTCAGAAACACCTCTGGATGATTTATCCTGTGCTGCAAAGTGCTGACAAACCTCTCTCTGTCAGCGTGAGGAGGCAATCTGTGATCTGGACAGATTCAAAAACGTAGCGTGAATCACTTTCAGAGCAGTTTTCATTTTAATGCAAAGTACCATATTAAGGCGTATTTGTATTGTCATAATGTATATCATAGTGAAACATGGCTGCACCTCAAAACCACACAGAAATAGTATACAAATGATTTGGATGAATAGTCCCTCCTGTATGATTAACTAATGCTGAACAGAAGTACATGTTATCTGTTTTAGGTTTTTCCTTCATTGCATCTCATCATTATAGATATGATATTGTCCTGACGGGAAACGTTATGCACTGTGTCTTATCTTATCGCGTTGCATGTGAATATCCCCTCAAATTAATCACAGATTGAGGATGTATGTTACGTGGCATCTTGAAGATGTATATTTTTTCCTTTTACATATTATCTTCCTTGCCAGCTTTATTGCGGTCCACCCTTGATAACCTCATCCCTTTTCTTGAAGTTGTGTATCACATCCCGTCACATTTCCTCTAACCCCCTCTTCTTTGTTTTCCTGTTTGATGCATCTCCTCCTCCCATCCTCACCCCTGCTGTGTCCTACCCTCTCTGTAAGTAAACACATTTCTTTGTCCACAAAAAGTAACAAAACCTCACACTCTTATGTTAGTTGTACCATGAAATAAGTTTTTATTATCCTCCTCTTATCCTCCCCCTTTGTTGATGTTGCCCTTCTCCAAGCATGAAAATCAGCTGGAAAACTTTGGATAAGCTTTTGTTTTCATTAATCAACTGTTCAAATTTGTCTTAAATAAAATGCATTGTATTTATTTTATCTTTCTGTCAGACATCTCTGCCTCTCCGACAGCCAGTAAGAGTAAAACCAATGAGAATCTCAACAATTCCAGTTGCCTTTCTTCCTCCAACTGTAACAGCCTTTATCACCCAGGCTCCAACTACTACCCATACACTGGCTCTCCAAAAGGTACAACTCCCCCTCTTTATCAAACACACACTTCACACGAGTGCTTAGAAACCTGCGCTCACACCAACAGAGCTTAACACTTAACATTTAGCCAATCTTAAGAAAAAATCATGGTTGAGGCGTTCTTTTCATAACATTACAGTCTAATATTTTATAGAAAATAAGGACAAAACCTCATCAAAGGACAAGTTTTCTTTCCAGAAGTAAAATCCAAATAAATGTTTTCATTCATCTCGAAGCTGGTCAGCCTGGATCCAGGCTTAAAACTCTTTTTATAAGGATTTTCTGAAACTTCAATGGGGAAAATTAATGGGAAATTTACTTCCACAACCAGATCCCATCTACAATTGTGTGGTAACTGTTACGCTCTGCAACAAATTGTAAACGCCACAGGCACAAACTTAATTTATCTAAAGAATAAATGCCGACTTCAAATCTTGCACATCATTTTGAAAAGAGGTTTTTCTGCCTCCATCTCATCCTCAAGTCTCCAGAGTAAGGAGGTTTTCGTCCGGAGGGGAGGAGGACGGGTGGAATCACAATATCAACAGGGTAAGAAAGAAAGATGTCCCCTGTTTCTCCCGTTTACATTTTGTGCATTCGTTAATATTTAATTTGCCACTTAATTAAACATGATTTTTACGATCCTGCCCACTGGACACGAGGCCAGAGGATGCTGCTATACTCCTCTCTCCTCCTTTGTTCTCTACATATCATCCCTTTGTCTGGTCAAACAACAACCTTTACAAAGTTTTCATATCTATTCACCTTATACAGTATATAAGCCTTTGCATCCATGCCACTTCCACTATTCATCCATCTATTCCTTTAAACCATCCTTGTGTTCTTCCCCTCTGCTTCTCTTTCCTCCTCTCTTCCCTCCCTCCCTCTCTGCAGGGCATTGGCAGGATGATCCTGAAGGAGGAGATGAAGGCGCGGTCAGGTTGTCACGACAATGAGCAGTGGGGGAGCAGACGCAGTTCCCGTTGCAACAGCAAGGAGGCGCTGAACAATCTGGGATATGGCTCCCTCAATGGCTGTAAGTGTGTGTTCGTGATCACTTGGACAGTGTGATTAGAACCAGCTATCTAAAATTACATTTGATGAGTAAACACCTCCTCCATTTGTTAACATGGAGGAGGTGTTTTTTTTTTCCACCTATACTGCAGCCTGCCACCAGGGGGTGATCAAGACACTGTGGCTTCACATGTCCTCCACCTTTATGTACAGTCAGTTGTCCAGACAATTAGAAATAGTTGATGGCTGATCTCTGAGAACTATATTTTTCAAACTTTACAGACGTGAAAGTTTGAATTTGTTCACAGAACTACAGTGAATTCACCTTTGAAATGAGTAATAATGTCAAGTTTATGATTTATAAACACTAACACAGTCCTGGTTGTGTCCTGTTTGTGACTGTACTTAAGTTCCAAGGCTGAAAAGGGATTAGATTTCATTTTGGGTCGTGGTGATGAGTGGTCTGTGGCTGCGGAGGTGAGAGGTCAGGAGATTATTATAGTCACCTTTATGGCAAGATGGCCGTGTGCGTGTGCATGTGCGTGTGCATGTGTCTAGTTGGAATGCTGAGCAAGCCTTAGTGTGGGAGAGTTTGGCCACTTCTGTATTAACTCTCCCATTGATCCCAGTCCTCATTGCATTCAGCTCGGGTGAGGGTTGAGACAAAGATGGAGAGACTCGGAGAGAGAGAAAGAGAGAAAGTGTGTTTAGGTGGAGGTCAAGCGGGAGGGTGTTATAACCGGAGCGAGAACAAGAGAGGCCGAGATAAAAAGTGAATTGAAAATAAAAGAGAGAGAGGGAGTAAGAAGCTAAAGCAATTTGCAGCCGCTCAGAGAAGATGTATGACATGAAGCCGAGAGGTAAATCAGGGTCAGAGAGCGGAGGAGAGAGAGGGAGATGAGCTGTGTGAACAGGGAGCTCACACACACACACACACCTGTGTGTGTGTGATGTGGGCGTTCAGTGCTGCGTAATCACTGTGGGTTTATAGTGTCTGCTGTTATTATACTGATTAGAAAAGTCCTGAGTGGTGTGTCTGTATCGGTTCCTGGCTCATTTCAAAATGGTACGTCCTCAACACACTCCAAAGACACTGACTTAATGTCTTTCAATTATATATTAAAGTAACTTTATCACATTAGTTCAATACAAAGAGTCACATTTATTTAGTATTTTCTATCGTGTTGAGTTAGTGTGAATAAATTAAATAACTTGTCAGTGATTTAATGAAATATAGTTAAACTTAGAATATATAAATATACACATTAAACACACAATTTATTTACATTAAGTCAGTGTGCAAGGCCCAATTATTTTTCGAGTATATGAATGCCTACGAAATAACCTCAACTGATTTTAATTCACTTGCTAGCAGCGGTGCTTGGTGTGGCAAACTGGATCTTTCAGTCACCTGGTTGATTTAACATCTTGAGTTCATTAGTCTCAACAGTTATCAGATGGATTGACATGGAGTTGAACAGAGGTATTGATGGTTCCCTGCGGATGAATCATACAGGATGACTGGTCATGTCATCCTCTGTCTTTTCCTACAGTGCGTCAAAATGTTACGTGGATTCTAGTGAGTTTGGTCCAAAAATTACATTCATGCCCGACACAGGATGAACCCTCTGACATCATCAGACCATGCATTTTCCATGAATTTTTTGTTTTAGTTATTTGATGTCATAAAAACTCGGTTCATTTGTCTTTCTGCACAATGGGAGGAAGTGAAGACGTGTTATTACATACAGTCTCTGGTGAACACAGTAAACAGTAAACCTGCTTAACACGAACATGTTACGTTGCTGATGTTAGGATTTGAATTCAGTCGGCTGCAGCCTCACAGAGTTGCTGGCGTTGCTGTAGACTTTTATTCTTGTTGTCCTTCATCTATGAAGACTATAAAATGATACATAAAACTGTTAGATCTACATCCTTATCTTCTCAGCACAAAATAAGTGTGTGATAATGTTTCATCATATTATGTTGCCAAGAAAAAATAACCGAGTGGTTTTCCAGCTGCAGCACAGTCCATAAAAATTACACAGTGCAGTGGGTGGGGCTTATAAACATGTACATTTTTAACATGGATGGCCCGAGTATAAACCCCGATGCTGTGGGGCTGTACCCGTGCTGCTTCATATTTTATACGATGTGTAGGTCTTGATGGTGATTATGTTTGCATATTGATGCTGTTAGAGGCACATCCCCACACAGCTGATGTTTTATAGATGTCTCACAACAGCAGGCTTCCTTTATTTCCCTTCTAATGAAAAGCCGACTCTCTTCTGTCATTTCAGTTTCACTGTTTGTTCTCCTACTTTTAGCATATGGCAGGTTTATGTACTCTACTTAACGCAGTTTTGTTTATTGTTCATGTTTACACAATGATACAGACATTAACCTGCATGTATCCATTTGTACTCACAAATAACGGGATCAAGAATCCAGGAGATTTAAAATGGATTATGTAACTGAGGAAAAATGTTTGAAAGGGTTTCTGGTAATAATGAACCTACAGAGAATTATCCCCTGACTCTGCAGCTCCATCACAGAGTTTTATAGCCAGTTGTAACTCAGTGATTAGCTGTCCAGCCGAATACTGCTCTGGTTCATCTTCACTGCTTTCATATAGAGGCTGACTGATTTATTGTTTAGCCAGTAAAAATGTGCAAATATGAGCCTTTCACAGACATGTTGGATCAGCGTTTCTGATACGTAGATACTTTTATTAACCTTTTAAATTTACACAATAAAAAACGTACAAAAGAGAAGATTAATTCAAGGTCTATATTTGTATTTGTGTTTTCCTTTAATTTAGTTATTGACATTTAAGTTTATGGTTAAACTTTAAAATATAAAGCCTGAGTTATATTTCTTTGTTATAACAGTTTGATAACAACATCTTAGGAATCATTGCCAAATTATTATATTTTGTCATGTACATAAAGGCTGATATATTGCATAGGCAATTATTCCCTAATTTTAGCATCGACCCCAAAAATCCATATTGGTTGGTTTCTAATCGATAGCATTGTTTGTGAAGTAAAAACGTAGCAGCAACAGCAGACTGAGGCAGTGAAAGACTAACTGGTGAACTTTGTTATTTAGCAGTTCCCTCAGGAACTGGTAGAGACCAAATAAAGAGAAAATAGAGAGTGAAATGGGCCTTAGATCCACCAGGGGGCCCGAATGATCACATCCACACATCATCACAATATATTTTTTTAATTTTTTATTTAAATGCGATTGGGGCTCTTTACATTTCATTTAGTTTTTACCAAGGCAAATGTATTCATGTATAAGATTACAGAGTCTCTTGAGACATAATAATATATTGTCCTGTGTGTTCTGTCTTATTTCTGTCTCACCCCTCTCTGTCTGTCTCTCTCTCCTCAGCTCCCAGGTCTGTCTACAGCGCTGACAGCGGTGAGTGGTTCATCAGTGTGTTTTGATCTCTGAGGTCACCTCGACACAGCGAGCAGCCGCCGCTGTCACTCTGATCCTCCTCACTCTGCAGGTTCTGCTGTGATGGAGGCAGAGCTTTAAAACGGGAGATTGTTATCAGCTCATACACACACAGACGTGCACGCACACACATACACACACATCTTTCTTTTCGGGTTACATGTGGGAAGATGAATGGCACTGTAGCTGCAGCCAGGCCCCAGTCTGTTTATCAGCTTTAGTTTTAGCAGCAGATCCAGGATCACTGACCTGAGCCCCTCAGGCATCTGTTCCACAACCCACAGTAAAACTTTTCAGATTGTAAAAATAGATCAGTTTTATGCAGTGACAGTATCCACACTTGGCCTTAAAATCCTTGTGGCTTACAAGTTCAAGCACCATGAACTCATGAGAGTCTTTTAGCCCAATGCCATCCCAACTTAGCTTCCAATATTTTTTGAACATCCTGAGATTATATTCTTGTACAAATAAAATAAAACTGATAAATATCTAGAATAGCACTCTGGCCGTATCGTCTCCATAGATTCAATCAAGCCATTGGTCTTTGTAGAAGCTCCTGGTTTAATTTCTGCAGTTTTTGTTAAAATAAAGCTGTGGCTGGTTGGGTATTTTACTATTATTGGAATGAGGCTTTGCTTGTGTTTTAAGGATGTTTTGTTTATTAGTGATTGATCCGTAAGTCAAAATCTGTGAAAATCTTTACCAACTTTTCCACAGTCAACTGCCTCCTGTACTGTCATTTCCACACAGAAACATAACAAGCCCAAATGCACTGTGGTCTGACAGTTATCTTCTGTGAATGCAATACTTTCCTCTTTAATTTAATCTTTATTTTGCCCGTGTCACCTTTGGGGCTCCGTACATTGCTGTGTTTCTAACACACACATAATACCAGATCTACAGGGCCTGTATCTCATTTCTTGTTGGAAGACAAAGCGCTGTAGATGACAAACTCATTATTGTTCAGCAGATCACACACCGCGTGCCGTAGCTCACACCGGCCAATATTCTGCTGCATCATGCTGTTTCATCCCGGCTCCTTGACTTCACTGTGTTATTTAATTCCTTTTAACACCACAGTGAACAAGAGAGAGACTGAATGAGAAGAGAGAGGAGGAGGAGGAATAGGAGAGAGACGTGCAAAAGTCTGGAGCAGAAAAATTGATGAAGCGGAGCAAGAAACAGATAATGAAGAGGAGGCAAGTTAAAGTAGAAGAGAGGAGGACAGGAGGGACAGTTGAATAACATGAGGGAGTTGGTGTGACTCCACTGCCCTCTGCTGCTTCAGCTACATCAGTGCACACCATAAATAAAGATGCTGCCGGTTGCCAACGGTTACAAGAGAGATAAAAACATGCAGAGTGATAACAAAATGAAAAATTGTATCATCAGTGCAGCATTTTCAGTCAATCTAGTATGTTTCTGTGGGTACATGAACTTGTGTTTGAGGAGAGTGAAATCTATCAGCTCGAGGTTCATATAGCTTCAGGTTAAGAGTTAAAGTGGAAGTGTGGTGTTTTTTGGAGACAGGGATTCTATGATCCTAAATGTTTTGATATCGCAGCATCCTCAGAGCCACATTTCTGCCTGAGGAGCGTGTTTGGAAAGCAGTGATATTCTCCAGGTTTAAAAAGGAGGTACAGTACTTGGCAGGAGAGCTGTTGCTTTGTATTTCTTTCGTAAAATTCTCCCAGGGCAATATTCTAAGAGACTGGATGACAAAGAATTAACACAGAATTTGAAAAACCTAAAAATTCCCTAACCGTCTGTAGGAGGGAGTCGAGCTCTTCACTGGCACTAAGAATATTCCAGATCTGCTTAACAGTGTCTTCAGTTAAAGTCCCTCAGAGAACAAATATGAAACGGTTTTCACTTCATTTTATTTGTTTATTTTTGTGACCAGATTTTTATTTCTCCTCGACAGCCAGTGGCACAGGATGTTTTTGGGTCGTCCATCCGTCTGTACGTCGCATTTTGTGAACTTGATATCTCAAGAATACCTTGAGGGATTTTCTTCAGATTTGGTACAAACACTCAGTTTGACTCCAGGATGAACGAATTCGATTTTTAGTTGAGTCAAAGGTTAAGGTCACTGTGACCTCACAAAGAACATGTTTTTGCCTTATGAACACAATACCTCATGAACACTTTCAGGAAATGCTTCCAAATTTTGCACTTATGTTCACTTAGACTCATGGATGAACTGATTAGATTTTGATGGTCCAAGGTCATCATCAGTCAAATGCAAAATCTCTTCAAAAGTCCAAACTGTATCCTCCTACTTACAGACTGTAGGTGTGTGTCAGTTTGCATAACTTCTGTTTGTGCTCATATTTGTTCTTGCAGATTCATATGTTGCCAAATCGGCCTCGTTGCCAGGGTACGGCAGAAACGGACTGAACAGGGTGAGCAATCATGATTTCTGTTGTGAAAGAGTGTGTGTCTGTGTGAGTGTGACAGAGCGAGGCAGGGCCATTCACTAGATTAAATAAGCTACAGCAATGTCCTTCATTCCCTACTGAACCTTAGAAGCTCATTTTTATCAGTTTACTCCTGAGGTCGACTGAGACGTTAACTGGCAACTGGAAAGATTTCTGTATTAAATGTTCCAGTGTGATTGATGTTTTGATGCAATATTTAATAGATCCATATAAGATTATTAGATGTCTGTCTTTTTTACCTGATCCTTTTCCTCCAACATAATGATTAAATGCATTCTCCTATCCCGTGTTTGCTAAACTGGTCGTGTTGTGTTCCAGCAGCCTGGGAGTGCCAGTGCAGATTATTACCAGTATGACAGCGGTAAAGCAGTTAATTGGCAGATCAGAGGTAAGTTTATCGTTCAGCTGAAATGTGCTTATCCCCAGTTGACTACTTCCCCTCACAATGCTTTTCAGTCATATTCAGCCTGTGTGCCGGTGGTGATTGTTGCAGTTGACTCATCGCTGTGTCTCTCTTCCCTTCTCTTTCAGAATACAAGGTAAGACGCTCTTCTTTCCAAAGCTGGTGAACTGTTACTGATCCAGGGATGAAAGGTCTGGATGTGTGTATAAAAGATAAGAATGATGTGTTTCCTTTTTAAAGTTCATCCATCCAACTCAGTCACGCCCACTTGGCTCAGTGAAATTGACTCATTTTATTGACACAAGAAAAGAACAAGACAAAGGGTAATTGTACACACAGGGTTTATGTGATGGGTCAGGGATATTCAATATCTTTTATGACAATAAAAATCCTCTTATGTGTGGGGCTTTTTCAGGGAAACTTCAATATCTACTGTATGATTGTGCTCATTCAGGAATAATATGCTTTTTTAAATCTATTGTAATTTATATGGAGCATTTGTATGCATCCAAACCTGCGACAGACAATAGTTGGAGGCATTATGTTTTTCAGGTTGTCTGTCTGTCTCATTCTTGTGAACACAGTTCAAAAATGCTTTGAGAGAATTACTTCTAAACGGATGTTTTGGTGGTAATAGGTCAAAGGACAAGCTTGCTCTAACCTCAGGAAGCATATCTATTTGCCTTATGAACACAATATCTCAGGAGCACCAACAGGGAATCTTTTCAGATTCTGTACATACGTTCAGTTGGACTCAGGAATTAACTGATTAGAGTTTGGTGGTAAAGGTCAAAGGTCACAGTGGCCAAAACACGATATCTCAAGTGTTTCTGTAATTTCTTCAAACTTTGACCAGTCATCATTTGGACTAAAAGAGTAATTAATTAGATTTCAGTGTTTCAAAATCAAAGGTCTAATGAGTCTAGGTTTTCTCATATTGATTGTTTGGAAAGTTTAGGAAACAATTTTCAAGCCCACTCTTTAACTCTAAAGCGTCACAGTCTTAATTAAGAAATAATAAAAAGACTATCTTTTCGAGTGGAATATTATTTTTATTTGTATTAACAATGAAAGAGATAGGCTTCGTCTGTTTAAGTTTCTCTTCTGTTGTAACTACAGCTTTGGCCACAAGAGGGTGACAAACTATTTCTGTCTATCATAATGGTGCAAAACAAATTGGTACGTTTGAATCGTGTTACAACATGAAGCAAAACTTCCTCAGTAAAAACATCATTGTCATTAAGTCTCTTTAAATTTGATTTAAAATCTCAGTAATACTGTTTCTCCCTTTGTTAGATCTACCCCTATGAAGCCCTAATGGTGTCAGTCAGAGGGCAGCAGCGTCTCCCCAGTGACGTCGACCGAGCCAGACTGGAGGTGAACTACTGCACAACACTCTCTGCTTAACCTGAACATATTAACACCCTGGAATATAATGAAAGCACAGATAGAAACAGCAAGAATAAAAGTCCACCGTGTAAAATGATGAGACACAGTGAACATTCAGAGATTAAACAGGTGAAGAAATTGAACCAAAATGTGTAGGATTCATCCTGAGCAATAGAATACTCACAGTAAATGTTATCCCCAGTAGCTGATAAGAAGAGAATCAATATTTCATGACTTACCGACTCTCTGCGTCTCTGTCTCCTCTGTCTCCTCTGTCTCCTCTGTCCTCACAGCGTCACCTCTCACCAGAGGAGTTCTACAGAGTCTTTGGCATGTCCATGTCGGCCTTTGACCGCCTCGCTCAGTGGAAAAAGAAAGAACTTAAGAAACAGGTCAGACTCTTTTGAGAAAATGAATTCATTCGGGACCAGACAGGTTTACTGCACTGACTGTGGGTCTCAGTGGAACAGGCTGAAATGAAAAGATCTCACTTTCCTTGAAGTGGCAAGAGCAGAACTCGGAGCAGAACTATGAAGTCAGCCAAGCGGCAAAATTAGACGAAGAAGTGTGAGGAGAGAACAAAGACGTCCAGAGACACCAGAGAAGTCACAATGGGACTATGATGAGGAGGAATTGGCTGCTTTTCCCTGTTCTACCAGCAGATGTCAGTGGGTTAACATAATCTACAGGCAGGCATCTGATATCACCAGGTTGTCTGTAGACTCAGGTTCAGCTTCTCTTAGCCAATACGCCCAACAAGAGGGAGGCAGTTTGGGGAACAGACCGTCTTGAAGACAAACCGGCATATTGTTGAAAAAGATTCAGTTTAAGCCACAAACACAAACACTGTCCACTGGTTCATAAGTTGACACGACAAAAATGTTTCTGTTTGATTTTGATATTTGAAGCCATATCAGTGTTTATAGTTAATTCCAACAACGTGACTGGACTGTGCTGGCATTGATTGGGTTTTCAAACATGATGTGATTGTAAGTTTTAATGAGAATGAGCTGAACTGTGTCAATGCAGTGAGATCAGAGATGTTAGTTAAGTTTCAAAATCAGGTTTTAGTACAATACACACTTTAAAATAAGATATTTGTCTTTTGTTTTATTTAAAGAAATAAATGTTTGTTGGTTCTCAGACTCATGAAACAGGTCAGAATTATTTTTTGCCGATTTACGATTAAATTCTGTGTGTCTGTGTGTGTGTGTGTGTGTGTGTGTGTGTGTGTAAAGAGGACTTCCATGGATAGTGAGAAACCCTCTGAATAAAGAGAAGAACAACAATTGTCTAGAGTCAGAAGGAAATAGGAAAAGGTGAATGTGGAAAGGAAGGATGGAGACATAACAGAAGGGTTAAACAAAAAAGAGTGGTTGTGTGTGTGTGTCTGACACAATCCCATGTACCAAGGAACTTTAATTCTCAAATCTACAATTATTGGACTAACATGAATAATTAACAATGTTGTGTCTCTCACTGCAGCTTCTGAATAAATGATTCAAACATCACTATTGAATTATTTCTTGTCCTTGTCTTTAAGGTGCATGATGATGTTGTGATGGTGAACAGGTATCTGTTGTGTCCCACAGGTTTTTTCTTTCCTGTTGATTATCTCTTGGGGATCGCGGCCTCTACGTTAGGCTCCACTGTCACTGTGTATCTGACTGTATATCTATAATATATCCACTTTTTATATTGTAGGCAATTATTGTTGGTAAAAGTAGTCTATGATATGATAAGGTAGCAATACCACAACAACTCACCACACAACTCACATTAAACAAACATTAGGAGTACATTTCCTACACAACATCAGCAAAAGTATTCATGGTAGAAAAGTGATGAAAAATGTGGCACTTAACACATAAATTGTGTCAGTAGTTGGTTGAGGTGGAGGTGATTTAAACTTCTTAATAAGCTGTTGGGTAATATTATCTATAACAATACCATTAATCTGAAAATCTGAACTTGAAACAGACCAAATAATTTTACTGGAATATAAAACATACAATATCCACTGTTTGTAGTGGACTGGAAACAAAGTAGCATAAAATGGAAATACTGCCAAGTACCTCAGGTTTATTTTGTATATATATAGACACACAATTAAACATGAAAAAAGTTATTTCTGTAAATATAACTTGTTAGTTACGATTTGAACAAACTTAACTCTTGTGTGTTGCCAATTGAAGACGTTTTTTAGAGTTTTCTAGTTTCAGTCTTTTAAATATAATAACATAAACTGTGTATAAATACAACAACACAGATAAACACGTTGGATCGTTGCACTTCCTCAGATTGACTGGTATGCAGCATGAAACATGGACGAGCACTAGGACCCAGCGGCTCCTCCCTGGATGAAGAACCGGGCGGTAGCAGAGTCCAACTCCAAACTGTAGCGGCCACTCGGACTCAGATCCCCGCAGAGAGTCTGACTGAGCCCCGCTGCCCGCTGTGGTGGTTCCGCCTCACAAGTTTACAACTTTTTTAAATGAAACTACCGAAGGAGCATTAGTGGAGACACGCTGGTGGAGCCGCTGCGGAACATCAGACATGGAGCCCAAACCACAGAGCGGTGAGTAACAGTGGCTGCGTCTCATCATATGTTCGTTTGTGGAGTGAGTTTGACTTAGAGCACTTCCGCTCCACGAGTAACAGGAGAAACACAACTTTATATCCTTCGACACACTTCACACCTGGAAGCCTCAGTGACAGACGACAGGGTGAGAAGTTAAAAAAGAAAAAGAGCCGCTGGTGTGACTTGTGTTTTATTTGAATTCTTCTTCAACGTGAAGCGTCGTCACCGGGTTGGTGTGACTCCACGTTTGAAACAAGTCAGGTTTGTTTGGAGGTAACGGGGCGCAGTGACGTCACGCACCTACTACACGGGACGGCGCGCTGTGATTGGCTGTTGGGGGGAGGTGTCCTCGTTCAGGTCGGTGATGCAACCGGATGCCAACAGGGAAAGTGTTGTGTTGGAAGTGAAGGTGCAGGAGGAGAAGCTGCAGGAGGGGAAGCTGCAGGAGGAGAAGCTGCAGGAGGAGAGAGAGCTGTAGCTGTAGCTGGTGAATGGATGCTCTGTTTCATCTGTCGCCCTCAGGCTACTCACTGGAAACAGGAAGCTGCCTTATGTGACACCAGGTGATGAAGCAGAGGCTTAAAACTGCCACTGTGCATCACAAGTGATCATGTTGGGGTAAACAATGGGAGGAGATTAAAGCAGCTGATGAGCCTGTTATTCAGGTGATGTGGTATGAGTTAACACCAAATTGATTTGGATTACCTTGAGCACGAGGACAATTGGAGTAAGAAGAATGATCAGAATGTAGAATAGCAGCTGAATAAAAGGTCCTGCTGTTCCCTTATGAAACCACATTTAAATTCAAAATATATATTTGGATGTGCATTAAATTGCACACACTCAAGCATTGGTTCCCTAAACATGTTTTTTTTTATTTTGTTCACGAAGATCCATGAATGACTCTGAGACATCAGTGTTGAAAAATGCAACGTTAAAGAGAGTGGATTTTTTTTTATCCAGGTTCCGCCCCTTGATCTGGCTCCGTACCAAAATTGAATGGGTTCTCCCTTGGGTAACGCCCCACCCCTCCACAAAATATCACGGTAATCAGTTGAGTCGTTTTTGCTTAATTGTGCTACCTTATCAAACAAACAATTACAGAAGGAAACTGAGAGTTAGTAGAGTGGCACTCAGTAGAGCTCAAGGCCCCAGTGTTTTCTTAAATTTAATCAAATTGCATTACATTGCACATATTCGTAGATATCAGTTCGTTAAATATGCCTAATATTTTTCATCAAGATCCATGAAAGGAAAAAATCTTGGATATTCTTATCTGGATCCACCCATAAAATTTGTCCCATCCTTCCACCAATTTTTCTGGAAACTCTCCTAGTAGTTTTTGCGTAATCCTGCTGATAAACAAACCAACAAAAGTACAGGGGTGAAAACATTTTCTCCTCGGCAGAAGTAACAAAGTTCACTTTAAGCCATTGACTGTTCAAATCCTGAGTATTACTACACTCCGAGCGCAGCTATGTAATAATAATCATATTGTCAGTATTTTGAAAATAATTATACTTATGTACTAGTACTTTACGTGATTAAAAACAATCGTTCTACAATTGATAAGAAAATAATTTCCGTCCTGATCAGGTGCCATGAGGGGACTATTATCATATTTATGCTTTAATGTATTGGTGGGGGGGCTGCTTTCGGTAAAGTTGTTCGCATGTTTGAGAATCTCTTTCAGCAATGAAACAGTATGAATGAAGGTCGACTGTCATATCATCACAAAATCACAGATGTTAATAATAACATTAACAATGGCTGTTGTATTCAAGAGTCCCTGTACGCATTGACAATATGCAACACAAGCACCTCATACAGTATAACTCAAGTGTTATATGGTCGGACACTGTGCAGCTGTGTTGTGTAGAAAAAAAGGAGTAACTGATTATGGAGTTCTGTGAGAAAACAATGTTTTCATTCAGTTTTCAGTGGAATTTAAATTTCTTATACTGCATGCAGTTGATACAGTTGATAATTCTACTGTTGGCTGATTTAATCAAGTGGATTCATACGTCTACACACAGACACATAAGTCCTCTGTGTTTGACAACTGGGGCCAGCTTTGACCTTGACCATGGTTCCCTCACATTTCCTCTTTCCTTTTCCTTCTCCACTACCAGTGACTCCCACCTTCTCCCTTTTCCTTTCTCTGTCAAAGTCACAAAGTTTATTTATTCTAAGTTTTAATAGGAATAGAATAATTATGTTTCGGTGCAGGGCATGTGTCAGTGACAGAGACACTGATGACAGCGAACAGCAGTGGTTCTCAAACTGGGCAATGGGACAATTTCATCTGTCAACAATGCACCTGAAATTCTATTGGTCGGGGAATTTTGACAGATTTGTTGCACTAAAGAATCGAAGCACAGAAGAAAAAGTCAGAGGAGAAATCTGTGCAACATTAGCACAAGTAGAAGAACTGAAGCTGGAGGGCAGGAAATCTGTCTGAAAAACAAGATATTTGAGTGCAACCAACAGTTTGAGCACCAGCAGAGCAAATCGAAGTACATGCAAGGGTGCGAGTGCTTGGTTTTGATGGAAAGCATTACAAAATCTGAATGTGAAATCAATACGTCCTGCTCTCAAAGTGAAATACAGGAAAAAACACCCACATGAAACATCATGTGTAACAGCTGAGAGCAGGTGTACTGTCCCATGAAATCCCCTGATCGCTACTCTGGCTGGCTCCAAATCCCATAATCAGTGCAAGATGGCGGCGTTGATATTCACGATATTTTGGCTTTATTTCTGGATAGTGGGAGAAAGTGTAGACGTGATGTCTACCTCTGATTCGTGAATGGTGGCGTGCTATCTAAAATCACACACAGGCTTTTTTTTGGTTCAGTGTAAAACAAGCAGAGGGAGCATAATGAGGGTATTTCTTAATGGAATATGACAGCGTCTCTCATTTAATGGAGGCTTCTGTTTCCTCTGTCTCTTCACAATCAGAGGAAAGTGAGAAGATATTGAAAGAATGTGAATAAGAGAAAAACTTTTTCCCCTCAGCTGTTTCTTTTTAAAGCTCTTGCCAGCCTTCTTGGCCTGGAAGGGACTTTTTAAATTGTCTGACTGATGGCGACCACTGACACCATCTACTGTTGTCACGAAAAATATGAATCAGGGGATGGCGCATCTCTTGAAGCAGACTTTTGTCTTCGAGGGAGCTGCTGGGGCAGCCAAGACTTGACCTCTGACCTTCTGTCTGCAGAGAAGGGATGGAGAGAAGCAGACGAGGGAAAAGGAGTTAAAAGGAAAAGATCAGAGTGGGAGAAGGAGGGCGGGAGGGAACGAGAGGAGTGGAGGGGAGAATGTGGGATCTGGAGGGATGTCAACCTCTGGGATTGTGGGGGAGGCAGGAAGAAGATGCTGGAGTGCAAAATACTGGTTTCACACTCTTTGGAGATCTTGAAAGCATCTTAATATGAAAAACGCATGAAAAGCTAATTTTTGTGTGAAAGAGAATCTTGTATGTTCCTGTAATGGCTGAACAGAATTCATGGAAACAACAAGCAAATGACTCCAATGCCCTCATACAGTCCTGGGAAAGATCATAACTGGGAGGGTTCGTCTGGATGGGTGAGGCAAGTCAAAGAAGAGGTTACCCTTGGATGTGTGTGAGTTATGGGTGACATATGTAATGGGTGGGAGCGAGAGCCTCAGATGAGCAAGAGTTAACTGTCTTTTCTGTGTCACCCCGAGCTGCCCATAAGCAAGTGGCGAGATAAACAGCAGCGGCAGCGGCAGCAGTGAGAACCAGTTGTTTTGTTGTGAGCAACAACCAAACAAACTAAATCAGTACAAATGAGAGTCGCATGGCTCAGGTCTCATGACTGACCTTCTTCTGGAAGTCTGCCTGCAAAAACACATAAAAATGTATGTAAAAGCACAAACACACACACACACTTTCC